ATTGTAAACTGTAATTATCTCACTTCTTTGTCAGTAGGCCCCTTGAAAGCAAGAATCCTAACAGCCAAGGTCACTGCAATATCCTCAACTCATAGAACAGTACTTAAAATATAGTATGTGCTCAAAACATTGGTGGGTAAGAATGAATTGCCATTTTCCAGATTTGGAATGCAAAGCTTAAGTAGTACAATCAAGTCTGACTGATTTCAAAGTCCATCCTCTAGACCTATATTGCTAAAGTAGCTGGTCAGTAAACTATTTATTACTGGTCCAAGCCTAAGGCAGTGACAGATAGGGCCAAAATGTAAAATAAAGAAGGGCTACCTTCATGGAGTATATCTCACTATGGAAAGACTATCAGCTGAACTAAAAACAGTGTGCTCAGTGAAGCAGTTGATACACATTCTGCTGCAAGTTCCATATCCCACTGGGAACTAATGACAGTCTGGGGTCAGCACCCACCTGTGTGCCACACTTTGCCTAGCATTCCTCTAGTCGGGCCACCACACTATACTCTTTACTCTTCCTTAGCCCTCATTTGATGACTTCATGTGAAGCACTTGGTTTATTCCTGGCTCCTTCCTTCCTCTCATCTGTGGGTTTGTGCACAGGAAGTGTCTGATAATTTATATTGTAGATAAAGAGAATATTGAAAAGGTGGGTAGGGTTTTTTTAATCCTGCTTTTCAAAATAAGTAAAAAAAAATTTTTTTTTGGATTATTTCCCAGTTTTGGAATTTTCAAAAGGCTCTAAGCTCCAGAAAACTAGCTATTCTTACTGGGTAATTGGCTAAGCTCTGTCAAAGCCCTGATTTACAAAGTAGAACTGTGCAAACTATTCTTATCCTACACACGGGCCTCACAGCCTAAGGCAGTGATAGCCTCAAAAATCCTATGCTGCAGGGACCTGTCCTCATGTGCTCTTAGTCTCTTGTCTCATTGGTGCAGAGGTCCCTAACCATTCGCCATTACCATGGACTTTCTACCAGTGCTTTTACTTCTAATCCCACCAAACAGCCCCCCTACACACACACACACACGCACACGCACACACACACACACACACACAAACACCCCATGTCAACATAGCATGCCAGTAGGAAAGGCTTCTTCACTCATTCAATAGTCAGTGAGAGCTTTCTATGGGCCAGGAACTTTGTTAAGAATTGAGGAATAGGGGCACCTGGGTGGTATAGTTGGTTAAGTGTCCGACTCTTGGTTTTGACTCAAGTCATGATTTCAGGGTCCTGGGATCGAGCCCCACATCAGGCTCCACACTCAGCGGGGAGTCTGCTTCTCCCTCTCCCCCTGCTCATTCTCTCTTTCTCTCTCTCAAATAAATAAATTCTTCATAAAAAAAAAAAAGAAGAAGAAGAGTTGAGAGTTAAAGAACAGAGTCTTTGCCCTCTGGGAGCTTTCTGAGCTGAGTGAGGAAGTCAGACTAAATGTGACACCAATAGTCTCATGATGAAAGCTATGAACAAAGTATTCAAGTTTTACAAGAAAGTCAAACAGACACCCTAATCTAGTCAGCTTGCGTGCACTAGCAAGGGAAAAAGGGACCTTTACACTGAGGCTCAAATATCAGCAAGAATGCTTTGTCTTTCTAATAGTCACCAACAAGGCCACCCTTTTGCTCCCATATGTCAGCTACTTTGTTAAGCACTTTAGATGCAGGCAGTCATTTATTTTTACAAAGGATGAATGGCGTGGGAGCCTTTTTTATCCTCCTTCTACAGATGAGGAGGCCAAGACATAGATAAATTACCACTCCAAAGTTGCACAACCAATGAAAGATCAAAACCTAATCCTGCCTAATCTGATGCCTAGCTTTTACCACGGAACTCTACTCCAACCTGGTCAAGGCCTTGATAAACACACTCCTGTAGGAATCTCAGGCCCAGCAAGAGGCCTGGCTGTAATAAGAGGTGCCCCTGATTACACACAATGTTAGGAAGCCTGTGATGGCTCCCAGGCCATACTCTCTTCAATATTAACCCCATAAAGTACAATGATTCACTCCTACTAAGCTGCCTTTGTTGTCAATAATTACTGGTTGTTGGAAGTTTCTAGAAGGCTCAGAGTTTCCAGGTTATATTTGAAGGACTTGGACCCAAACCATCCAATTTATTTATTTGTGAGCCACCGTTCTGTGTCAGACCCCATGCTAAGCTTGGGGATACCAAGCAGAGTATGTCACAATTCTAGCATTCAAAGAATTCATCTGATATTGAAGAAGACAGGCAAGTGAAGGGATCACTATATTACTATGCAAAGAGAGGCAAAGAGAAGCTTGTGCAGAGACCAGAAGTAGCATGGAGGAAAGGAAGTCTTTCCAGAGGAAGGGATTTCTGGGTTGGGCTTTAAAGTATGAACAAGTGTTCAATGGGAAGTCAAGAAGAGAGCGTTACAAATGCAAAAGGGATAAAAGCATCAGGCAATAGCATGTACTCCATCTGCTATAAGCAGTTTTTGTCTTATCACAGCATATAATGAGGGTGCATGGATGCAAGGGATGCAGCTAAAGAAGTTTAGACCACCCAGTCATAATGGGTCTTCAATCCTAGGCTAAGGGGCTGGGATTTTATCCCGAAGATGACATGAGGGGAGAGACATGGTTCTAAACCCTGGAAATGATACTGTCCAGTTTGCTTTTGAAAAAACTCTCTCTGGTATCAGTAAGGAGGGTAGATGGGAAAAAGCCAGTCAAGAGGCAGGAAGGGACTTTAAGAGTATACATGGGAGATGTGGAGGCTGGTGCTTGGATGAAAGCAGTGAGGTTGGACAGGAAGGAAGAGACAGAAGGACAGCAGCAAGAGGACTTAGTGACTGGTCAGATGTGGGCTAGGACAGGGCGAGAGGAGTCCAGGATGACTCCCAGCTTTCTGTGTTGGGCAAGTGTGTGGATGCTGTCTACTTGTTTACTCTCTATGTCCCCCCTTGAAATGTAAACTCCAGGAGAGTGGGACTTTGTCTTCTTCTTCACCACACCCCGAATACCTAGAACAGTGCCTGCCACACTGTAGGAGCTCAGTAAGCCGTTGTTAAATGAAGTTCTCATCCCAGCACTTCTCTCCATCTCTGCTGCCACCACACTGATTCAAGTTCCCACACAGTTCCCAGAGTGCTCCTGGAGCCTCCCCTGCTTGCATGGGGGCCAGGAGGGTGAGGGAGAAGCTTGGGGTGACTAGCCTTTCCATTTCCAAGTCATGGCACCTCTCCAGTCCACCCAATCTCCACAGAGCAGCCAGAGTGGCTTTCTAAAATCATAGATCATGTCAATGCCCTGCTTAAAGTTTTCCGGGGGTCCTCAAGGCCCAGCGTGCCCACTTCTCCAACTTCACTTCCTTTACTTTGACACACTTTATTCTCAACTGCCCATGCTTTGCTCTGTTCCTAAAGCCAAATATACCTCCAGTGCCAGTCACACCTCTGTCTTCCCCAGCAATTTGCAAGGATTCTAGCTCCTATACTATCTTCTCAGAGAGGCCTTCTCTGACTATCCAAACTAAAATAGAGCCTTCCTTCTCTGCCCTAGCACATCAACCTGATTACTTCTTTCACATCACTTATCACAGCCTATTCTTGTTTGCTGATATGTTGACTTGATTATTTCTCTCTTTTTCACCCCTCTCTCCTCCTAGCATGTATTCCAGTGCCCAGAACATAGTTATAGCTCAATTAACATTTCTGGACACAATTGTGCTTCCACTATTATGATGGTGATGCTGATGATGCTCATACAAATGATGCTCTCCCACAGTGAGACGCTGGTTTGCATTTGTGGATCCAAGGACTGACTGGAACATATTTTCAACCATCTAATTAGAGACAGAATCCATTGTCACAAGCTTGGTCTGCGCTTTGAAGCTAGGGTGTGTGTGTGTGTGTGTGTGTGTGTGTGTGTGTGTGTGTGTGTGTCTTTACTTCATGCCAGGAGACCTCATAATCATCATTAGGTACAATATACCACCTGCCTCCATGGATACCCACTTGGTAAAAGCAAAATGAGGATGTGGCAGTTCTCCTCTATTCCTTTGCAAGACAGGATGAATTTACTGTAAACTATAAATATTGAGACAGGAAGACAGTCTCTTGGCCCCTTCAGATATTTTCCCCAGCTCCCACACTGGTTCTGCTGGGAGGGGTTTTTAGGACATGCTAGAGAGGAGAGAAAAATGCAGTTACCCAGACAGTACTGGAGGGAGGGATTGGGCAGACAGCCAACAGGGGCTGCAGAAGAAACTTTCTGGTCAAAAACTGAAGCAGGATAACCTATCAGTTTCAATAACACTGGGAAAAACCTAAAGGAAAGCACAGTTGAATACATCTCATAATGTTCCTGAAAAAGAGACATTTTAGTGAACCTCAAAAATCAGAAAGGGAAGAAACCTCAATTGTTTCATTTTAAAGATGGGTAATCTGAAACCCAGAGAGAAGAAAGGACTTTCTCAGGATCACGCAGAAATTCTGTGGCTGATCTAAGAATAGAATTCTCATTATTCAAAATTCCAGGGGCGCCTGGGTGGCTCAGTTGGTTAAGTGACTGCCTTCGGCTAGGGTCATGATCCCGGAGTCCCAGGATCGAGTCCCACAACGGGCTCCCTGCTCAGCACCGAGTCGGCTTCTCCCTCTGATGCTCCCCCCTCTCATGTGCTCTCTCTCTCATTCTGTTTCTCTCAAATAAATAAATAAAATCTTTAAAAAAAATTTAGTGTTTTTCTGGCACATAACCTCACCAGTGTAAGCCTAACTCTTAAACTAAATTAAGCTAAGTCATTTCTGTGGCCACAGAAACTAGCAAGTGCCTGTGTCCAAAACTCACACAAATTCTTATGACTTCTCATTTCTAGCTCTCCTTCCTCTCAGTCCATGGTCAGCCTATCACAAGACACACATATCACTTCCCCTTTGATTTCCAAGTTGATGCTATCAGAAAGAGGCAGGAAGTAACCAAAAGATATATGCTGGTGGAGAACAGAGTGTGTACACGATACTTACAAAAACAGCAGGTGAATCCATATTAGATGCTGAACACTCTTTGAAGCCATGTCCGATCAGAAATCATGACTCTCATCCAATAAAACTATGGGCAAACAGGACCATTTGAGAACATCTAAAGTTCTGTATGGGATAGAATGGCAAGAGGGAAAAAAAGAGGAAAAGAAGGTTTAAGTCTACCAGTCATGGTTCAGAGTTATCTGGTTACATATCTGAGAACTCAAAAGAATATTTCTATAAAAAATATAAATAAAAACTTATTTCTAAACAACAAATGTGGAACCTGGGGTCAAAGTAACAAAAAATAAGATAACTCAAAGTACCAATTAGACCTGAGGTCCAGTCCTAAATAATTACCTTAGCCAAACAGCATAGATAACCATTCTTCATATTTACAATGAGGATAACAATAGCAATAACAGGCATAGTCATCACTTACTGATCATTACCCATATGACAGGCAATGAGTTAACCACTTTATATCCCTTCTTTCTTGTAATCCCCATCCCAATGCCATGGAATGTAGACATCATCATTTAGATAGAATCAGAGAGACGAAGTAATTTGCGCAAATGTATTGCCAAGTTATAGGACCAAGATGTAAATTCAAATTTGGAGTTCTTAATCATTATATTTCAAAGGGTGGTTGTGAGGATTAAATCTAAATTAACATTTTAAAAGTAAGGAAAGCACCTTGCATAGTGCCAGCTCCCAGGACATGCTCCCTGGTAGTTTGTGTGCCTTCCTGTCTATATTCGCAATCCTTGTCTCATCCTTCACAAGGGAGGGACAGTAAGGCTCAATCGTCCGTGGCCAACTCTCAAACCATCCGAACGGTGGCCAAAGTTACTGAATTCCTGGTCAACTTACTGGGGGACAGATGTGGAGGGGTGGAGGGGAGGCCAGGAGAAGATCCTCAATGCCTTCCCTTCCTGTTCCAGCTAGAAAACTCAGAATCTAGGAGGCATAGGGAAAGAGGTCTCTGGCTTTGCTGTGAGAACTGGAGCATCTAATTTTCCTCTCTGGAAATTTTCCCCTTTGTAAGGACGGAGCTGGGCTGCACGGCCCCTGAGGGGACCACGGAACTGTGGCAAAGAGCACGTGTCCCGCAAGTTACTTAACTTCTCAGATTCCACCCCATCTTCAAAATGAGTTACCGATAATGATTGTAAGGCAGTTTACAAGGTTGCTTAACTGAACTAAGTAATTCCACAAAATGTGCTTAGCAGAGTGCCTAGGACATGGTAAGCATTCAATTATATGTTAGTTATTATTTTTACTGCCATTATTTCTATAATTCCAAACCCAACAACACTCGGGATGTCTCTATTAAGCCAGGGGGTCCCGATGTGAATGACTTGAATTTACAAATGCACTCAATGGTCTGCCTAAACAACGGGTCTACAGCGCTTTCCATGGTACAATGACCAGGTTTTCTCCCTCCGGGGAAAGTCCGCGACTTACAGAACAGCCACAACAGTGCCTGCAGAGAGTACCCTTCCCCTTATCTTTCAGCGGCCGGGTGAGGCCTGAGCCCGACTTCCACAGCCCGCCCATCTCAGCCACCATTGGTCGCCTCGTAGCTGGCGTGATTAAGGCCCTTCCCCCTTCTCTCTGGGACCACGCTGAGGCGATCTCCGGAAGCGGAGGGGCCTCAAAGGAGGGACCGCGACGCATCCTGGGCTTTGTAGTCCGGCCCTACAGCTGAAGCCAAAGATCGGGGCGTCAGGACCCGGAGAACTACAATCCCCAGCAGCAGGCGGGGAGCGGAGAGAGGCGGAGCTCGCGTCACGTGGGCTCTCGGCCTGGGCGGGCTATTTCTCAGTGCGGCGGCGGCGGCGGCGGCTCGGGGGACCGGGGCCTTTTGTTTGGAGCGGCTGCGGGGGGCGGCCCCGGAGCGGCGAGGCCGGCGGCCTTCCCCAGCTCGCTCGGTCCCGGCACACCCTCGCGGGGGTGGGGAGGCCGCCCCCTGGGCCGGGCCTCGCCTCAGGCGCCGCCGCCCCGCCCTAGGCCCGCCCCGCCCGGCCTGAGGGGAGGAACCGGCTGGGCCTTCCCGCGCGGCCCAGGCACCTCCGGAGTCGCAGCCACTACCTTGCGTGGTCCGGACCCGCAGCTGCCCCTGGTTCCTTCCGCAGACGCCATGAAGATCAAGGATGCCAAGAAACCCTGTAAGATGGGGGCTTGAGCCCGTCGGGTTGGGAGAGCACTTTGGGCGCCGCGTGTGGAAGCGCCTTAGCGGAGCGGCCTCGTTCCTGGCCTGTCGCTCCTCGCCGGCGCCTAGCACGGCAGGGGGGCGCAAGGACCATTTCGGTATCGGGATGGAGGCTCCCTCTCCATCCTCCTGTGCGCGCGTGACGAACGCCTGCCGCCCTCTGGCCCTTTCCTCCCACTTCCTCCTCGAGATCTGGGACGCGTTTGGAGGAATTTTTGATTCGGTTTTTGCCAGGCAAGACTAGAGCTACCAGTCCACTCCCCCAGCTTCTTCTGAAGTCGGGTTGAAAAGGGTGTCGTTTGCGTGGGGGCATTTGCCACCCTTTTTTCCCCCCCTTTTTTCTTTTTTTTCCACCAATTTCTGTGCTTCCCGCTTGTGACCTTGAAATACCGGTGTGTTCCTGGGAGTTATCACTGCTGTTACAATTAAACACGCCTGTAACTTGCCAGTGGGTAATTGCCTTGGCTTGTTTTTGTTTAGAATAACAACCAGGTCGTGTTTGCTTAAAAAAAAAAAAAAAAAAGATAAAATCATGGGTATTCCTGCTACTCAGAGCTAACCGCTTTTAATATTTTGGTGAATGCTCCTATTAGAGATTTTTCTACGACTACATATGTACGTACTTTTTAATAAAACATTCTTTACATGTTTTAAGAGACCAGATCAACTTTCATTTCCTTTTTATTTTTAGCCTTTTAAAAACCTTTTACTCCTATAAATAGTTTAATCATTCATGATTTTCATACTTTGTAAGTACATTCTCCCAGGGAAACTAGGAATGTGGGGAAGCGTGCTTATCTTAGAATTGTATTGGTATTTAACAGTTTTTAGTGTCTCGTGATCTTAGAGTTCTAGGAAATCTATAAAAGGGAGCATTGACACCTTCCTTTCTGGCCCGTCAGGGTTCTCTTAACCTCACCCGAAGGGCAACGTACCAAAGCACTCTGAAAACGACTAATGGCTATTTAAATGTGAGATAATTTGGTCTTAATTTTACAGATGAGGAAATTGAATTTATTTAGCCCCACAGTAACTTTTCCAAGGCTGTACCAACCATCTCTGTGCTAATGAGGTTCCCCTAAGTCCACTGACTCATAGTGCAGGGTTCTCTTTTCTGCATCCATAGGGGTATAGTTTAGTTGAAATGCTTAGAGAAACCTTTCTGATCTGGTGGTTTTATCTGCCTGCTGAAGAAAAAAATACTTTAATGATGATTTCTTGTAACCAAAGAGTTCTTGTTAAAGGAGTCTGTAAAACAGTGATGTGAAGGCTTAAGTGACAGTACTATAGAACCATTTCTAATTTTTTTTATATTTGCTGAATTAAACTAATCTTGAAGAGATGCAGTAATGTAAAACACTTGGGACATCTTCCCTTAACATACATTTTCCCTGCTTGTCTTAGAACTTCCATTTAGTAAAATAAGTTTAACTGTGACAAGCTCATGCAGACTCTTAACGGTATTTTCTTTTTGCCATGGTAGTGATTTGATTTGTTAGATTTGGCACACCTAAGTATTAGAAAACATTGCTTTTAGATACATCACTAATACATTAGAAGATTATAAGTCAAATGCGTGTATTTAACCAGAAAATAAGAAAAGGAATTAGTTTCATTTGCTGGATTGTATGAGTAAAAGGTTAGAATTTGAAGTATGTGTTAACTGCAAAGAAAGGATGAAGTCAAACATTAACCTAATGAAAAATTTTTGCTAGTGAAAATATGGAAACCTGAAAAATGGCAGTGTTTGTTTGCTTTAACTTAAATAATTCACACTGCTTAAATATTAGATTAAAAAGACAGACAATCATGGGTTCGTTTGTACCTCGACTGACAGGATGTCTTAAGGTATGTTCAACCTTTGTTTTTGTTTTTGTTTTGATTATTTGTTTATTTGACAGAGATCACAGGTAGGCAGGCAGAGGGAGAGGGAGAAGCAGGCTCCCCGCTGAGTTTAGAGCCCGATGTGCGGTCGATTCCAGGACCTGGGATCATGACCTGAGCCAAAGGCAGACGCTTAACCGACTGAGCCACCCAGGCACCCCTCAACCTTTGTTTTGCTTACCTTTGTGGCATGTAGCCTAATTAACAAAATGATAGTAAAAGATACATTTTTTATTTTTAATTTGATAAGATAAAGGTTTTTGAGTCTCTGCTAACCCAAGCTGTTACCTGAAGTTTTTGTCAAGAGCAGAGAGAAGTAGGGCGCCTGGGTGGCTCAGTTGGTTAAGCAACTGCCTTCGGCTCAGGTCATGATCCTGGAGTCCTGGGATCGAGTCCCGCATCGGGCTCCCTACTCAGCGGGGAGTCTGCTTCTCCCTCTGACCCTCCCCCCTCTCATGTGCGCTCTCTCTCATTCTCTCTCAAATAAAATCTTTAAAAAAGAGAGAGAGAGAAGTATATGACACGTGTATCGTTTGCTTCTATATAATTTGATTGGTCTGTTTGTAAATTGAATCATTACTTAAGAATTAACCCTTCCATGGGTGCCTGGGTGGCTCAGTTGGTTAAACATCTGACTCTTGATCTCAGCTCAGGTCTCGATCTCAGGATTGTGAGTTCAAGCCCCATGTTGGGCTCCATGCTGGGTGTGGAGCCTACTTTAAAAAAAAAAATCCCTTCCAATAGATAATAAGGTACAATTGAATATGATAGTTTCTAATATTCCTTTAGATACAGTGAATATACCAAAGGGAAAAAAATATTTACTTAACACTCTTCTAAGGAATTATGATACTAAAGGTGTGAAGGTGGTTATTTTCCTAGTCTATTTCAAAACACCAACATTTTTATTTGGAATGATTATTGGGAAGAGCAAAATGAATGTCTTCTTTTATCCAAGAACTTGAAGCATACCTGGAATTTACCAGTGCACATGCCCATTTTAGAATTTTGTTTCTTAAAATAATCCACTAATGTTTTAAACATTTTCAACATTTGGTCCCTCTTTCTGCTAAAGAACAATTAAATCCTAATTCGGCATAGGATCCCTTTGGGCTGAAATCTGCATGGAGCCGATAGCAATTAAACAGTTCTTTAATGTTTCCCCCCCCACCCCTTTACAACACCTAGCAAGACGCCAAACTCTTAGAACACCTTTTGTTAGAAATCAACAGTTTGCCCTGTGGCAAGATATCTTCTGCTAGATATCAAGGGGGTTGGACTTGGCCGGTTTCTTCATACACTATCTACCTGGTAAGAAAGATAATTCTTGGTAACACTTTATGCTTATGCTAGTTCTGGATATTTTTGTTACTGATGGGGAGCTAATGACAGCTCTGTTAGGCTCAGCTGAGAAACAGAATAGGAGTTATTTTTTTGAAGGCCAAAGAGATTCTAGGAAAGACGCACTGCCTTCTCCCATCATCAAAGTACTCATTTGTAGTTATGGAATGTGCGTTTTATTTTTTAAATGTGTTTTGGTTCATTATTTTCACCTTGGCAGAGGAGAGTTTTATTATCAAAGAATAAAAAATGTTGAGGTTACATGCAGTAAGTAGCCTGCTCATGCACTGGTGACCGACTTTTAACCTGTCTCTTGGCCAGAAGCAACAAAGCTACAGGAATAGATACTTGCCTGATTTTTTAGGAAACATATTTTTCTTAACTCACGAGCTGTTAGTGGACCTGTGGTTGTACTTAATAAGCTTATATTTATTTGCCTCATACTTAGAATTGCAAATAAAGTTTGAGCTCCATGTCCCTTTCCCCCTCCTGTTTTAGTCAGTGACAAAATAACGTATTTTTTTTTATAATGTACTGGAAAATGTAAAGATCAGTAATCAGACCACTTACTAAATGATAGGAGTGGATCATAATTAAGAATTTGTGTTTTCTGTGGGACGCACCTTGCTGGCTCAGTCGGTAGAGCATGGGATTCTTGATCTCAGGGTTGTGAGTTCGAGCCCCACGTTGGGTGTAGAGATTACCTAAAAATAAAATTTTTAAAAAATTATTTTTTTCTTTTTTCAAGTTCCAAAGAGGCTTTATTACATAGAGGGTAGGGGGTTCAGTCCTTCTTGGCTGCTGCTTTTTCCCCTGCCTGCCAGGACGTTGCTCATTTCCTCTCGGCATGGATGTGTGTCCCCACCCTTTTCTTGATGAATTTGAGGGCACACTTGTCCTAGGAGACCTTGTGCACGCTGCTCGTGTGGGGAAGTGGTACACCTCTGGGATCATATCCCACACAAACTTCGTGTGCTTGGTGAGGCGCCCCTGGCGGCAGCTCTGCCTCAGCTTGCCTACGTTCTAAGTGACCTTGTGGCCCGTGTTGAGGCCCAGGGTCATAGGGTAACACAGAGAGGCTGCTGCTCCTCCATGACTTCCGCGGCAGAGGCCCCCATACTTTTCTAATGTGATTTTTTTTTCTCCCCCCTCCAGCATAAGGAAAGGAAATCCAGAACTCTTGCTGAGTTAAAAGGCTCACTATGCCAAAGGTGGCTGTTACCGGCTTTTTTTCTTTTGAGTCACTGGCAAGGCTGAGTTCTTTCAGTCCCTACCTTCCTGATTTTAAGAAGAAAACTGTCGTAATTGAGATTTACTAAGAAATGGAAAGGACATGTAATGTTCTCATTTGCACATGATTACTGAGAAATTCATCATTTACAATATAGCATCTCTAGTTACCCTTCCCTTAAGAACAAGTAGCACTAAAAGAACAGATGTATCTCATAGGCTAAATGTGAGATGAGTCTTGGGCTTTTTGCATTCTTAATTTTAAAAACCTACCTCTGTAGGCAATAACCATTAAAGAAATCATACAATTTTCCAATTTAATCTGCAGTTTTTTCATAGAACCTTCTGTTTCTCTCGTCCAGTGTACAAAAGTGGGTCACACAAAGATTTAAAATTGAATGGTAATAATTGTTTCATGAGTTTGTGGTTGTTTGGTGGTTCTTTTTCTTTCTTTTTTAAGATTTATTTGTGAGAATCTTCAAGCGGATTCCCCACAGAGCGCAGAGCCCAGTGAGGGGCTTAAGCACACAACCTAAGCTGAAACCAAAAGTCAGTTAACTGACTGAGCCACCCAGGCACCCCTGGTGGTGGTTGTTATTTGTTACATGTCATACATATCTTAAAATATTCTTTAGTAATTAATGTAATTTAAAATAAATGAGGGATTTGATATACTGTAATAATAAAACAGTTTTGTTTATAAATTCTTTTTACTTTCTGTGTGGAGTTTTCTTTTTCAGATAGGACAAGTTTGGTTTGATGCAAATATATCAACAAAAGCCTTTTTTTTTTTTTTAAGATTTTATTTATTTATTTATCAGAGAGAGAGGGCACAAGGAGGGGGAGCGGCAGGCAGAGCAAGCAAGGGAGAAGCAGCCTCCCGGCTGAGCAAGGAGCCCAATGCCATGCCAACTTGATCCCAGAATCCTGAGATCATGACCTGAGCCAAAGGCAGACGCTTCACTGACTGAGCCATCCAGGCGCCCCTTAAAAATCATTTTAGTTATATAATATCAGAAGCATTCCTATGTTTTATCTAATGTCCATTGAAAAGTGTCCTAATTACATACCTGTTTAACAGATTGGGGAAATTCTGAAGTTATCTCTAATTTATTGGATCAGTAGAGCTACTCCATATTGTTTTTTCTTTCGGTGTGTTGTCCAAGCAAACAGTTGCTATGAATTTCCCCTCTGTAACTTAGTATTGGGGCTTGCTACTAGGGATTTAAAAATTGAGAAAATTTAGTCTTGTTTCTTTTACATTTTAGTTACTTATAAAAATCTATAGGTGACACAAAAGTGTTGTGCCTGTTTGGGGTCTTACTGCCCCCCAGGTTATGGTCTTAAGTCATTTCACTTTTTTTTTTTTTTAAGTTTCTTTTTTAACACTGTCTTTAGTGTAGATCTATATCTGGAACTTGGGTTTCAAATACAAAAACAGGTGAGCTAAAAAAAAAAAAAAAGACGAGTGAACTATTTCTCGGAGAAGATAATGAGAATTACTCCTTCCTCATTTAATATTACTTACTAATTTCAGTAAACGTAAATTGTGAAATGGAGAAATGTATAGAATCCTTTCTTGTTGAATTGTATGTACCTGGTTTCTAATAGTCAAATATATCAAATAAAATAATATTTAAGAAACAGATTTTGGAGGGAACTAGTTTTCGTTGACAACTTACATATAAACTGTTAAATACAATTTATTCTGAAGCATTCTGTAGCATTCTGTAATGTGTATCTCTTAAGTATTAAATTATTCTTCAGTCTCTATCATTTTAAGATCCCAGAGAATAGAAACAGATGTTAAATAAACTAAGATTCAGAGAAGTTAATGGCTTTTCCAAAGTCATATAAGTCCAGTTAGTGAGAGAGCACCAAGTCCCAAACCCAAATGATACAACTGCCTGCCCAAATGTGCCCAAGTAGACTATATCTTCAACATTAACAGCTAATTTTATTAACCAGATGTACCAAAGAGATACATTGTTTAATGAGCAAAGAATAAGATTTCTTTTTAAGGAGGTACTTTTTCCCTTAGGTTACTTGAAGTAATTATAGACCAATTTTATTGCGTTAAAATCTTATTAGAAACATTATCAAGCCATAGGTGATGACCTATTTATTAAAACAGAATTGGTCCAAATTTTTCCTGATCCCCTGGGGCATATGACAAGTATTTAATAAATGAAAAGGAATATCTACCTGACCAGGAATTAAAAGGCCCTGGGCCAGCTGTAAGCATCCTATGTTACAGGTTTTTAGAAAATGTATAAAGTAATACTTTGAAGGGAAAAAGTTGAGTTGCACAAAGAAGCATCTTACCCCAAAAATACTGCGTGATGCAGGGTATATGAAGTTTGTGGCTAATTAGCTCCTAATTTGAATTTCTGAAGTTGATATATATGTATTTTTTTTTTTATCCACAGCTTTCCCATGGTTTGGCATGGACATTGGGGGGACTCTAGTAAAGCTCTCATATTTTGAACCTATTGATATCACAGCAGAGGAAGAACAAGAAGAAGTTGAGAGCTTAAAAAGTATCCGGAAATATTTGACTTCTAATGTAGCATATGGATCCACTGGTATTCGGGATGTACACCTTGAACTGAAGGATTTAACACTTTTTGGGCGAAGAGGGAACTTGCACTTTATCAGATTTCCAACCCACGACCTGCCTACTTTTATTCAAATGGGAAGAGATAAAAACTTCTCAACATTACACACGGTGCTATGTGCTACAGGAGGTGGTGCTTACAAGTTTGAAGAAGATTTTCGCACGGTAGGTATCTTACTCAAAACCAAAAATTGATACCTATTCTCTCTTTTTTAAATATTTATGAGAGTGTGTGGGAGCAGGAGGCGGCGGGGGGTGGGGGGCGGCGGTGGTGGCAAGGAGCAGAGGGAGAGAGGGACTAGCAGGCTCCGCACTGAGCACAGAGCCGGTTATGGAGCTCAATCTCACAACGTTGAGATCGTGGCCTGAGCCAAAACCAAGAGTCAGACACTCGACCCACTGAGCTACCCAGGCACTCCCTCTTTAATTTTTAAAATACGAGGCTGTTTCCTAGATTAGTTCCACATGCTGGATATGGAGGAAGTATGTATTCATGATCAGCTTTTCATTTGGGGCACTTAAATACCTTTTATAGGCTGCATAAAAAATTTGCCCAGATTTGAGCTTACTGTACATAATATTTGGTAAAACCTGCTAAGTTTAGGGACTGCTATAAAGCTACAATAAAAGGGGATTTCAATGAATTTGGCAGTATACAAAGCTAAATATAAGTGGCGTTTGAATTATTTTTGCTGTTACTGTCCTATGTTTGCATTGCTTTTATGTATTATTCAGACAGTCCTCTCTCCCAGGGCCATCTCTTTCCTTGCCCCCCCCCCCCAAAAAAAACAGCTGAAGCCCGCGTCTTTTGATTAAGTAGACATCTGAATGAGAGTCACCTTAGCCCTTTTTTCTGGGTTTTTGTTTTTGTTTAGATTTATTTATTTATTTGACAGAGACAGAGACAGCTAGAGCAGGAACACAAGCAGGGGGAGTAGAAGAGGGAGAAGCAGGCCTCCCGCCGAGGAGGGAGCCCGATGTGGGACTCGATCCCAGGACTCTGGGATCACGACCTGAGCCACCCAGGCGCCCCCCTTTTTTCTGGTTTTATCCACCAACTTTACCATGTTCCTATCTTAAAGGGGGTCATTTGGATATAGCAAGAGGACTATTTAGTAAACGCTGATTTAAGTGCTAGTGGGGGTTTGCCAAGCTTCTAGTCCTTTCCTGTAGAATAAGATTAGAAAGTTGGCATTTGGAAGTACTGAAATTTGTTTTCTTTGAAAATATGCATGTGAACCATTTAATTTCTTAAATTCACATAAGAAAAGTCTGTTAATAGAAGATAAGTTATCGCTTATAGCTCACATAAGTGAGCCCCTTAAACTTTGGGATAGTGTAAAAGTCTGAATTGTTACTAATTTTTTTCTTTTGATAGATAATACTGATTTGTATTAAATTTGTTGAGTAATTTGAACATAAATTTCATAGATTTGAGACTAGTTTGCTTGAGCATGTGATATTGTTTGCCAGAATTCTTACCAGAAGCAGTATCCTTGAAGCCAGCTTTCACCTCACCATTGAAGTATCAATATTTTCTTTTTTTTTTTAAGATTTTTTTATTCATATATTAGAGAGCATGAACTGGGGGAGGGGACAGAGGGTGAAGCAGACTCCCCACTGAGCAGGAGCCCCACGGGGCTCAATCCCAGGACCCTGGGATCATGACCCTAGCTCAAGGCCAACGCTTAACTGACTGAGCCACCCAGGCAACCCAGAAGTATCAATATTTTCTAGTGATGAAGTTCTGTAATAACTTTATGTTGATGCTCAAATCATTTATTAAGCTTAATATGTGTCAGGTATTATGCTAGACACAGAACTCAGCTGGGAATAAGACACAGTCTTAGCCTTGAAAGAGTGCAGTATTCTAGACCACACAGATAAGTGAGTTATAAGTACAGTGCCTCAAGTATTGATATGAAAAGCAGTGCCACGGAAACCCAGAGTAGTATTACCTAACAAGTTCGGGAGAATAAAAGGTTCCCAGAGGAAGTGATCTCTAAGCTGAGATCTTTTTTACAAATAGTTTATAAAGACATTCTTTACTAACCTAAAATGAATTTAATAATTTCAGACTAGTACCCAAACTATAATATAGAGAAATGAAAGTATTTATATATTGGTGGATTCTCTGGTATGATCACATGAGAGGGCATAATGAGAGATTTAGATGCTGGCACTTAACATAAATTCACCATGAATTTTAAAGGCCCAAATGCTAGTAGATTGATACGGTATGTTTTATTGGAGAATCTTGTACCATAAATGGTGTTGCTGTTCATGACATAACATTCTTAAGATGCTAAATAACACTTGGGAAAACTCTAAACAATAAAAAAGTTCAATATTTCCTCAGTTTATATGGTGGTTGCATTCCTAGCAAATTTAGCATATATAAAAGCCATATAAAGAATACTTCGTGCTTCCCTAGGCTCAGATAATTATAAAGAAAATTTTTTTTTTTAATTTATTTGAGACAGAGCACAAGCAGGGGAACGGGCAGAGGGAGAAGCAGGCTCCCCGCTGAACAGGAAGCCCAATGTGGGACTGGATCCCAGGACCCTGGGATCATGACCTGAGCTGAAGGCAGACACTTAACCAACTGAGCCACCCAGGCGCCCTTACAAATTTTCTTACTGCTCCCTAAAAAAATGTCAGAAGGCTCAAAGATAAGACAGGAATGGGATAATAACTTTGTTTTTGCACAACTGCCGTACCCATTGCAGATACCCGGCATCCCAAGTCCCTGCCCACTAAATGTTAGTTTGGTTCTCTCCTCCACTCCATCTTTGTGAAAACTGAAATATCCCTAAAAATTTTCAGAATGCATCCAGAGGTAATACGGACTAAGATTCTGACACGAAACAAAAAAAGTGAAAATGTATGGGTCATAGATGATTTTGAAGTTTTAGAAAGCTCATGAAAATTATACAGTGCAGTTGAGTCAAATATTTTGAATACTGTCCCTTGTTCACTTTATAAAACTTCTGTGGTGTTTTTTATAGATTGGAAACCTCCACCTGCACAAACTGGATGAACTTGACTGCCTTGTAAAGGGCTTGCTGTATATAGATTCTGTCAGTTTCAATGGACAAGCAGAGTGCTATTATTTTGCTAATGCCTCAGAACCTGAGCGATGCCAAAAGATGCCTTTTAACCTGGATGATCCCTATCCACTGCTGATAGTGAACATTGGTTCAGGAGTCAGTATTTTAGCAGTCCATTCCAAAGACAACTATAAACGAGTAACCGGGACAAGGTAGTGACCTTTCTGTTCCTATTGCAGCGTTCATGTTGTTTTATACACAGAAGTTGTGAAAACATCTTAATGCTAGCCTCTAACATGCATTTGTGCAGTAGCAAAAAAATGTAGATGTGCAAGTATAGTTAAAGTGTTGCAAATGATAGTGTTTTATAAGGTATGTGTATAAAGACTCAAAACTAAAATAAATATTTATATTTGCTTAACATCAATTGGCATCAAAATTTCCATAATTGTAAAAGGGAATTTTTATCTGGACTGATTGCAGTAACTTCTTTTTTTTAATTATGTTAGTACCATATAGTACATCATTAGTTTTTTGGTAGTGTTCATGATTCATTGTGTCCCATAACTTTTATTTTCCAAAGCATTCCTCTCCTTGTTTTTCCACTGTTGTATAGATCTGTTTAAGCCTGAAGTTTGCCGCTGGTCAGCTTGCATGCTGGTTGGATTAGATTCACATTTTAAGTGTCGTATTGGGCAACATTGTAATCTTTTTTCTTTAAGATTTATTTTATTTATTTGGGGGGGAGGGGCAGAGGGAGAGAGAATCTCAAGCAGACTCTCAGTTGAGCACGGAACCCCATGCAGGGCTTAATCTCATGAGCCTGAGATCATTACCTGAGCCAAAATCAAGAATCAGATGCTCAGCCAACTGAGCCACCCAGGTGCCCCTGTAATAATTCTTATAAGATGAATTTAACATGAGCTCATTATGGGATAACATTGATCTAAATATCCCATAAGATTTTCTGTGATGCCTGAAATATTGTGAAATGAAATTTTTAAAAATTGTTCTTACGATTCCGATACTTACTTCATCTGCTTTTAAGGATAGAAGCTCCTAATTATTTGAGGAAGAAAGATTTGGGGGTTTATGAAAAAGAACTCATTTCCATTTTAAAGTAATACTCTTATTACTAAAGTAGTACTTAAAATTTTTTGTTGCAAGTAAACTCCACCCCCATGTGGGGCTCAGATTCAAGACCCTGAGATCAAGAGTCACATGCTCTACAGACTCAGCTGGCCAGGCACCTCTAAGTGATACTTAAATTTAATTAGTATTTTATCTCTGTGGTGGCTAAAAATCTACCTCCATTGTGACTCTATGCCAAAGACTTACAGGGAAATATTACCTATTTCATTCTAAAAGAAATTCAGTCTGTTAACTAAATTCCGGGATACATGGAGTCTGTTAGAAATTTAGGTGAGACTGGGGAGCAAAGGTTTTGATTTTAGGGATTAGGCATGATTTCATTTTATCAGTATATCCAAAAAAATAATAGAACCAAGTAAATTTTTATCATTAACATACTGACCAGGCTGACATAAATTTTCTCACCATATTCGTTTCTGGGTCATTTTAAATGCTAACGTGTCACATTGAATTGATTCAGCCTTGTCAGACCAAGTAAATAGGCCTTTCACTAAATCATTTCCTGGAAACCATTTGGAGTTGCAAGCTTTCTCTTTTTAATTCATATGGTACTAATTTTTAACACTTACCGCTTCCCCCCCCATGTAAAAGCATTTATTTTTAGCAATTAAAAATGTAAGGAATTGGGTAAAGATATTAGAAGATATTAAACATCTCTTCCTGCCTTCATGTTGCTATCACCAACTGATTTTTCCCCCTTTGGTTTATTCTTTCATCTGACAAGTTTAGTTTGGCATTTTTCTTATGTTGATATTTCAGCACTTGGCATTAGCAATGTGTTCTTTCTTTGTGTTTATTAATTACATGGATATTCCATCTTTTTACTCTGGAGAAAGAATAGTGTGTAAATGTAACTTACCCAGTTTTCTTTCTTTCTTCATTTTTTTTTAGCCTTGGAGGGGGTACCTTTCTGGGTTTATGCTGTTTATTGACTGGCTGTGAAAGTTTTGAAGAGGCTCTTGAAATGGCATCCAAGGGTGACAGCACCCAAGCTGACAAGCTGGTCCGTGATATTTACGGAGGAGATTATGAAAGATTTGGTCTGCCAGGTTGGGCTGTAGCATCTAGGTAAGTTTAATATTTATATTATAATTAAAGTTGCTTATTTAGTTTTTAGAAAGCAACATATCAGGAAGTTGTTAGGGGGCTTACTGTTACCCACTTTAGGTTCCAAGTTTTGAACATGCATGTAGTTTAAAAATAAGATACACATTAAGGGGGCACCTGGATGTCTCAGTCAGTTAAGCATCTGCCTTCAACTCAGATCATAATCTCAGGGTCTTGGGATCAAGCTCCGCATTGGGCTCTCCCATCACCGGTGAGTCTGCTTCTCCCTCTCCGCCTGTGATCTCTCTCGCTTTTGCTACTCTTTTTTTTTTTCTTTTTTTAAGATTTTGTTTATTTATTTGACAGAGATACAGCGAGAGAGGGAACACAAGCAGGGGGAGTGACAGAGGGAGAAGCAGGCTTCCCACTGAGCAGGGAGCCTGATGCGGGGCTCAATCCCAGGACCCTGGGATCATGACCTGAGCTGAAGGCAGACACTTAACAACTGAGCCACCCAGGCGCCCCACGCTTTTGCTATTCTTAACGTATATAAAGATATACGTTGGGAAGTCTCCCCTGGTGTATCCCATAGGAAACCATTTTTATTAATTCTTGAATATCCTTTCAGTATTTCTTCATGCAAATATAAATACATATCCTTACCCCCCCCCTTATACAGAAGGTAACTTTCAGAAGGTAACATTAATATACTATTATACAGCATACTACTATATGTACTCTTCAGTAGGCAATCTATCCTAGTCTGTGTGCTGGCCTCCCTCCCTCCCTCCCTTTCTTTCTCTCTTTCTCCCCCCTTCTTCTCTCCCCCTTCTCTTCCTTTACCTTCCCCCCTCTTAACCTCCCTCCCTTATTAACAGCCTCTTGGTATTTTATTGTGTGGATTTATCAGAGTTTGATGGTAGTTTCCGGTATTTTGCTATGTATAGTTCAACGGGTCAGTCAGTAACCTTGCTACTACATACCTTATTTTGTACTCGTGTAAATTTATCTGTAGGATAAATTCCAAAAATGTATGAAGTGTTGCTTATTATCAACAGAATTTTATTTTTCATTTCTCTGCAGTTTTGGGAATATGATTTATAAGGAGAAACGAGAATCTGTTAGTAAAGAAGATCTAGCAAGAGCTACTTTAGTTACTATCACCAATAACATTGGTTCTGTGGCACGAATGTGTGCTGTTAATGAGGTAAAAAAAATTAACTATTTGAAAAATGTGGATTGGAGCTTTATGTACATGTAGCAGGGCTTTTTTGTGTTCCTTAGAGACCGGTAGGATTGAGATCTCCTCCCTTAAATCCCAAGGCTCATTAGCTGTATATGCCATGTTTACCTAATTGTTATGTTACCTTTAAGGAAAGTAGCAGATAATTCAAGTTGGAAATAGAACAAAGAGATACATTTCAAATTTATCTAGAAACTTTTTCAGAAATACACAACCTAAATTTCTTGAAGATAGAAGATTCTTTTCCAAACATAGGATGTTTTTGAAGTAACTACTTATTGAAAGGGGTATTTTTTGCTGTTAATGTTGCATTTGATTAGTGAGGTGCTTAGAAGTTTTCTTACTGCCTTCGGCTTCTTTACAGTGCTGCCTTGTTGCATATGGATCAAGCAGCATTGTACAGGGCTATGAAGGCATTGAGACTTGTTCTTCACCTGAACTTTGAATGATGTATACTTACAAAAAGCATGTACTCCTATATTTACTCTCATTGTTGGGTTATTTTTATTTGAAGGAGATTATATATACAATTCTGCCTTCATATAATAGATGTATTTCCCACTTAATTTTTGTAAATATCAAATACTTTGAATGAGGTGGGAATTTGTTTTTGAGGGAATCCTTCATTTGTTAATTCATTTATTCATGAAGTATTTGCAGAGTACCATGCGCCAGGCATTGTTTTAGGCATTGGGATACATTAGCAAAAAAAAAAAAAAACAAAGATCCCTGACTTCATGCAACTTCATCCATTCTAGTGATTTAATAAATTTTTAGTATGTATTTGGTGATAAATGCCATTTTTTAAAAAAGAAAATCAAGATGAGAATTGAGAGTAAAAAATTGTTAAGTAATTGGATTGTTGAAAGAAGACTATTGAAAATGTATATGTGCTGCTGAAGCAAGCACGACTTTATTGAAAATGTAACCCTTGGATAAATATTGAAAGGAGATGAGATAATCAGCATGCGGATATTTGGGGAAAGAGAAGCTCCAGCAGAGAACAACTGTGAAAAGACCCAAATTAATTATTTGAATTATTCTGTTTAAATCCAGAATTCTAAGTTTCTCAACAGCGTAGTAAGTTGGTTGAGAGAGCCACTAACAGATGTTTTAACTCAGGTTTAGAGAATACTTCACACTGGGGGGCTGACAATAATCTGGGACCTTTTTTCTTAGCCCTGTAGATCTAGATTTTCACTGGCCACTTGACTTAACAGTAATTAAGGCCATAGTTTACACTACCCAAACTCAGTGTGCACAAATGTATACTCAGAAGTTCAGTATGAGAGTAGAAAGGTTTTCTGGAGACTGAATAAGACTTCCTTCAAGGTATCTATGGAACCAAATTAGTGAGTAGAATCTTAGCGGAGAGTGACTTGATAGGGTAGGCTGGGGCCAGAGATGCTGGAAGCCTCAAGTTCACAGTGTTTTAATCCTAAACCCATTTAAAATACTCTCCTTGGTTTGTCTCCTTTAATTTTAATACTGTTTCTCCAAATTACTCTTTTAATAGATTATTTACTGGCCATTTTCAAAAACAAGTCGCATCTAAAATCATTCACTAAAGTTTTTCCAGAACTTTTTTTTTAAAAATAGACTATATTTTTTAGAGAAGTTTTAGGTTCACAGCAAAATTGAATAGAAAATACAGAGTTCCCATATATACCCTTGAACCCCACAACTACACAGCTTCCCCCACTGTCAACATCCAGAACCAGATTGGTACATTGTTAGTCACTGAACTTGCAGTGACACATCACTATCACCTAAAGCCCATAGTTAAATTTGGGCTCACTCTTGGTGTACCTTCTTTGGGTTTTGACAAATGTGTAGTGTCATATCCTGAACTAAATTTTAAATATTCAGGATTGTAGGGATATATGTACTAGGAATGTAATAGACACTAAAAAATAGGGTAGTAGTTCTACATTTTTAAGTAGAGATTTTCTAAACCCTACTGTATTATAAATTCTTCGTGATAATTCTTACTTCAACTCATTTTCTTTGTTCTTTTCTTTTAGAAAATAAACCGAGTTGTCTTTGTTGGGAACTTTTTACGTGTCAATACTCTCTCAATGAAACTTTTGGCATATGCACTGGATTATTGGTCAAAAGGTCAACTGAAAGCATTGTTTCTAGAGCATGAGGTATGATAGGAAAGTAATGCTTTGCAAATTTTAATAGCATGCTTTTATATACAGGTTTCATACATTGCTTCTTACTATGTACTCTTAAGTATAAAACTATGGTTTACCTGAATAGTAAATTGAGTCCGCCATTTCAGTTGAGCTGGGGGATAGCTGTTACTATAACCTGGTAGGCACCCCATTAAGATGGAGTTTCGCACTTCCTCTGACCAAGAGAGAGGGATATTAGGTCTTGTGAGCTCCTAAATATTGGGGCTGCTTGTGTACTTAAATTGTGTTCTTTTGTTTTTCCTTTTTTTCCTCCCCTGAGATAATATTAAATGTGAACACCACAAAAATAAATAATTTAGCAATGAAAATTCTTAAATCCTCCCACCACAGCCTCACCCCCCACCTCCACAGGGACCACTGTTAAAATTTTGGAGATTCGTCAAGATTTTTTTCCTGTTCATTCACTACATCCAGTTACTCTGATGTGAAATTATCAGTTCATATAATGTTTTGGATTAAGTAAATTTACCTTGAATTGTTTTGTTTCTAGTCAAATGGACGTATTAATAATTTAATAACACAGATTCAGAGTATTCTCTTGTGTTGATGTTTCACTGTCACTGCTCTCACTGTGCTATGCTGCTATGCAGGCTCCACATGGTGTGCTGTGTGCGGGGAGAGTGGCAGGTGGAACAAAAGGACTTGTATTGAGGAAAGAGGAGAGGGGCTCAGAATTGTAGTAATAGCCCTAGAAGCTTTTCAGTGTCTACAAGCCGCACTTTAAAAAATGCGTATTTCAGAGCACCTGGGTGGCTCAGTTGGTTAAGCGACTGCCTTTGGCTCAGGTCATGATCCTGGAGTCCCGGGATCGAGTCCCCGTCAGGCTCCCTGCTCGACGGGGAGTCTGCTTCTCCCTCTGACCCTCCTCCCTCATTCTCTCTTTCTCTCTCTCTCATTCTCTCTCAAATAAAATCTTTAAAAAAATAAATGTGTTTCATATTTTTCAAATATTAGCTGACAACACAAATTGGTAGGTTTCTGAATAAAAGTTCTTAAATAGATTATACATAAGTATCTGTTCCTAATAGTTGTTAATGTTGTTTGCGAATTTAGAAGTTGAACTGCATTAATAATTGTTTTAAAATTATACAGGGATACTTTGGAGCAGTTGGTGCACTTCTTGGGCTGCCAAATTTCAGCTAAAAAGCATCAGGTTTTTCTCTGCTAATAAATGTCATCCATGAGGAACTGAAAACCAGAGGCATTATTACTGCATTATTGTCACTGGGAACCAAAGGATAACAGAGTAGCACTATTCCTGTTGATTTTTAAATGTCACAGTGGTAAGCTGCTAAAAGTTGCCATATTAAAAGAGGGAGCTCGGTAACATGTGAAGTATTTCTAATTGAAATGCTTTCCCTTCTGTATATATCCAGTGTTAAATCCTTAAAATGCAATACAGCCTCTGATTATTGAGCTTCCTCTCAGAAGATTTTCTATTTATTTTATGTAGCCAACTATTGCAGTACTGTATGCTCAAACACAAATCTTAAAGTCTCTGAAATGTTTAGCTCCTGAAGATAATTGGATCTGGATATTTGTTGCAAGTGCGTTCTGTGTGTCGTGGTTACTAGTTAAGTGGGCAGTAACATACCCTGTATCAAACTTATTGAAATGGCTATCAAAGATGATCGTTTTGACGTGATTTTATAAATGTTAAGGCAATATGAATTATTCATGATTATAGTTTTTTCAACATTTCTCCCACCAAAACATGTTTATGTGATTTTTTTCCCAGAATTACAAGCTTTTTCAAATGCCATAATTGAAATACTATTGTTAAGTACTAGCCTGAATTTTTAAGATGAATCCTAGAAAATCACATAATTGGTGATAATTGCACTTTCTGTATTTTATGTTAATCATTATATTTAAAAAAATGTTTTGTATTTTATAGAGACTTAATTACTTACTTGAAAATCCATTTAATGAGGTCCCAGGACTACACTAATAGAATATGGTTTGTGTGCATTGATAGAGACCTGTGCTCTTTCTATACCACATTTATCTCCGGCCTGAATTTAGTCATTTGTTTAATTAGGTCTGCAGCTTCAAAGCTAGAGACTAATCTATTATGAACAGCAACAAAATCACATTTATTCTAAAGAGATGTCATGGAAATCTAAAAGATGAGTTGTTTTGAAACTGTAGGGGTCTGAGGCAGTATTGCAGAATTTAGAAAAGGATCAGTATTTTGTACATTCTGGTAATAAAGACATTATAGTTCCAAATTTGTAAATCCTTTTCCCTTGGAATTCTCTATTTTGAAGTCATTTTTTATAATGTTATTTTTTCAGATACTTATTTTGGCAGTAACATTTTTGGAGGTCCAGTAGTTCAGCAGCAAAGTTGTTCAAGCCTGTTAATTAATTGGTTTAAGAAATAGACTAGGGGAAAATATTCACTTCCTTAAATTACCAGTAAACGTAGATATACTTTGAAGAGCTTAAAAACTGTTTACATTATAGGAAGAAAGAAGTATTAATATGTTTTTACGGAACATAATTTTGCTCCATAAGGAACAATTTGCAGTAGGGATGCTTGATAAAGACATTTCTCCTTACAGTTCTCAAGTTTTGTGCTCAAATATTTAAAATTCAGTTTTACTTAATCTTAAAGACATGAACATATGAAAAATAGGAGTGAATATTCAGAGGGAAAAGCATGTAAGGTAATTTTTTAGAATTTAGAATATTTGGAACTTTGTTGAGTCAGTAAGTCACTTTGAAAACCTACAATGACTAAATGTTTCTTACTTTATGTTTCCATTGTTATGGCAAGATATTTCTGTCACTACAAAAAGCCATGTGTCCAATTTATTTTAGAAATTTTGTGATTTGGACATCTGTACAAAAAGTTCCTATTTTTAAATGATAATTTCAAGTTTATGGCAAACTATTAGCAGCTATAGATCTGGGGCTGTCTTTAAGAAAGAAATGGAATGGTCAGAGTCCATGTAAATTAATTTGATCAGTGTTTTGGTTAATTTGGGACTGTGATTCATACTTTTTGTCCTTTGAAACTGAAGTTACCAAATACAAAAAAAAAAATGCATATACAGTAAACAACCATTTCACCACTGTTGCTCTTGGCTATTCTCATGTATAATCAAGAATTACTGGAGCAATAAGCATGAACACAAAGTTGTGATGAAGACTGCCAAGATTCCAGTTTTTTATTACAATCTCACAAAATTCTTTATAAGCATACATTGGTAAATAGGTTTAGCTCTTAGCCCGATCAGCATAATGCCTCAAAGCTCTATTTCTATTAGACTGTACAATTTAAGAACATGAAGTGTAAGCCATACATAATTTTACATTTTCTAGTAGGCATATTTAAAAAGTAAAAAGAAACCAGTGAAAATCATTTCTATTTAACCCAGTATACCTGGTATGTCACCATTTCAACATATAATCACTATAAAATGTTATTTAGGAGATAATGTATTATTTTTTAACTTTGTCTTTAAAACTAGTATATATTTATACTTAGGGCACACTTCAGTGTAGGCTAACCACATTCCAAGTTCTCAAGCCACATTTGGATAGTGGCTTCTGTACTAAACAGTGCAGTTCCAAAACTAGCTCTTAAAAAAATAACACTATCATGTATCCATTAAAACTTTATGAATAAAGGCTTTTTAAAGAATGTTTGAGAGAGAATATGGGAAATACTTTTTTATGGAAAAAAATATGGGAACTTTTTTTTTTTTTAAATACAGAAGGAGGTTAAGAAGTAGCTCATTTGGGTTAGTATATTTTACAGACTAGCTGTATTTCTGACCAATCCAAAAACATCCTAAATTGGATCATACTGTATATCATTTTTCTAGTGATTCTGGTAAGTTGCCCAAGACCCATCCTGACTGGCCTCAATGATCTCCAAAATGTCGGTTTCCTTCACTGAAGCAAATTTGATGATTCCAGTGACTTAAATCCCCCAACCTTATGTAATTAAACTTTGAGAAGACAATTTTAAAGGACTAAAAAGAGACCCTTTTAATTCTTGAGTTCTGTACACACAAGTTCTTTATGACTTTTGAATTTAATTTCCATTCTTAAAAACTGGTAAAATATTTTCAAATACAAAGAGCACTGTCAGGTTGTTTTGGGGCTTGATGAAGAACACAAGGTCTAGACCTTTCCACTACCAGTCCCCCCCCCAAAAAAGATTGCCTTTTAACTAGAGATGTTTAGAAGTAATGGCCTTCAGTTCTCTACCCTGTTTCTCCAAAGACATAGTATTAGACTTGCTTGCCTGTCAACGGGGGCCTTCCTTGCTCAGCGACTCTAAATAGGTGGGCTGCTCTTTTGGGTTAAGTCAGTGCCATTGCCAGTTAATATACATGGCCATTGACAGTCTTTCAAGAGGTTCAGATTCTTGGCCAAATAGACTCTGTAAAGATTCCTGAGTTTACCTTTGCATGCAGATGTGATTACTGTATTGTAGGTACCAGTTCCTGAAAGTCCCATTTCTATAAGAAAAATGATGCAGCTAAAGGGAAAGGTTTTCCTCATGTCCTATGGAACTCTTGCCTTGATTTCTAAGGTTGCATTCTTGGGTGGAAAGCTTAGCAAGGCAGTTTCCAGATACCCTTTATAACCACTGCTTGTTATATGCAAAAATGTTCATATTTGTATAGTGTATATTTTTTTTTTTGTTGAGCACTTTACGCTTTTTAGTCTTGCATTTGAGAAAATATAGTTCAGAAATCCTTTCTTATTTAAAGCCATGTAAAAACCGTTTAAAGGATAATCAGAAAAAATGAGTGCATTATTTTGCATTTAACTCACTGTTTTGTGGTATATATAAGCAAAATATTAGAAATATATTGCCTTTTTGTAATACTCTGACCTTATTTAAGATGATTTGCCAGGAAATGTCACTGATGTCCTATTTTCCTAATGAGTTTATTAAATGTGGGTTTTATTCTAATACTGAAGGAA